GCTCCAGAAAGAGACTTTTTCATTCTCTCTGTCAACTCTGGAGGAAGGTCTTTGTCTCTTCTGAGCTTCTACTCTCGGGCAATCTTCATAAGATTCGGCATATTTTTTCAATCTATCTCCGTTTTTCTCATTTGCCTGTCTGTTGTAGTTGTTAGGAGCCATCGAGTCAGCACCTACTCATAGTGACCCTATGCACAATAGAACAAAACACTGCCCTGTCCCAAGCCAGCTTCACAATCGTCACTAAGCCTGAGCCCAGTGCTGCTGCCTCTGTACAAATCCATCTTGTTGGTGGTCTGTCTCTTTTTCTCCGACCCTCCACTTTATTAAACATGTTATCCTTCTTCAGTGGCTGGTCCCTCCTGATAATATGTCTGAAGTATGAGAGACAAAGTCTGCCATCCTGGCATCCAAGGAGCATTCTGGCTCTACTTCTTCCAACACAGATTGGTTTGTTCTTTTGGCAGTTCATGATACTTTCAATATTCTCTTCCTATATCGTAACTCAGGTGCCTCAATTCTTCTACTGTCTTTCTTGTTAAATGTCCAACTTTCACTTGCTAATCTTTTTTATATCTAACAGGAGATTGATTTAACACCCACCCTATATTGATCTTGTGTCATTAACATAACAAAAACAATCCATTCCTAAATGGGACTGTAATCACAGGCATAGAGGTTAGGATTTTTTTTTTTTTAAGTTTTTATTGTGAATTGAGCAAAAGTTTACATCGGTTTTACATGAAAAGAATTATATACTTTGTTTCATTACAATGATTATACTCCCCTCCATGTACCATCAGTTAACAGTATTCTATTCATTTTAGCTCTTTTTGGTTGTTAAGTTCTTTTTTCTTACAGTTGTTTGCATGTTGTTGTTGTTAAGTGCCATTGAGTCAGTTACGACTCATAGTGACATCATCAACCAACCAAAGGGTATATGTACCATACAAGCTGCCCCCACCCCACCCCTGTCCTCTGCACACAGCCCCTCTCCCTCTCTGGGCCTAAAGTCCCCAGCCACTGCCTCCATCTCTGGCATCACTGCTTCTCTGGGTAGGGTCCTGCTCTCCGCTTTACTCCCTTGATGGTCCCAGAGATCTCCACTCCTAGACTGCAAAGTCAATCACTCCCCTCCTTTTGTTACAAAATGTCTACCTTTACATTTCCAACCCTCACAATCAGTCCTGATAACAATTATTCACTATTGTATTACAAGAGACCAATCCTCATTTCCTTTCATCAGCCCCACCCAGACAGATTGGATACTACTCAGTGGAGATTCTACTTTTCTCCGCACCCTCTGGATCTAGGCTCCCTCTTGAAAGCTTGTAAGCCAATCACTTCTTGCCTTTGTAGGCCCCCACCCCCCATTTTGGGTAGCCAATGTCCAAGTTGCCCATCCCTGTCTACTCTGTGTGTGGAGGGGGTGGGAATGATCCTCACTGTAAAGATTTTATCTCTCTTTTGAATTATTGTATCCATAGGTGTAGGTCAAATTCATCAAATTGTATCAGATTACTCTTTTTTTCCTCTTTTTTCTTCTTCTAGTTGAGCTCTGATTATCCAGTCATCGAAGCCAGGGCAAGTGATTATTATCTGCAAGTGTGCATATGCCCTCTCTTCTTATCAGCTGGACGCTTCACTCTCTACTCTAGTCCTCTGTGGCTATGTCACTGACTCTGGGCCCAAGAGTCCCCAGGTCTTGCCACACAGCTGGCCGACTAGGTCTCCATCCGGGTTCACAAGAGTCTATTGAATGTTGTAGGGCTTAGCTTGTAGCTTCATTGCTGTTTTTTCCTCACTTGCCCTTATCGATGATGAACGTGGTCATCAATCAGAACATGTATTCCCATTGAGTCGTAGTCTTGGAAGGGGGTTTGCCCTGAGGGGACCCGACCACTTGCCTTGATGTCTCCTGGGTGAGCAACTTGCTTGTTCTTGTAGTTATCAGTTGGACTGCTGTTGTTGTTTTGTAGTTTTCCTGTTGGTCTTTCTTTCAAGAAGTATCTTCTGTTCTTCTAGCTGCTCCAGGTTGGTCTGCTGGTCCTTTCAAGTGGAAATTTCCCACCTCAGAAGATTCTGGATGAGGTTCATGATTCCACCTACGGTCTTATGTAATGCAGAGGCTCTGCAGGAAGAAAGGTTAGGATTTATGATACATATTTTGGGGGGACACAGTTCAATTGATAACTTTCCACCTTTTGTTCCCTAAATTCAGGTCCTCGCCACATGCAAGACACATTTACAACCATTACATCACCCCAAATATCTTAAAGCCACTCCAAGCCCCAAATCTCATCTTTGGACTCATCTAAATCAAATATGGCTACAACTTTAGGTGTATATATTCCATCCTGTGACAAAAATCCTCTTCATTTGTGAACCTGTGAAATCCAGACTATGAGTTATCTATTTTCCAAGTACAATAGCAGAACAGATAATGAAGATAGGTGGTTTGACAAAATGAATTCGCTATCCAAAAAATTAAAGCATACATCAAAACCAAATAACTCTACAGACTGAAGTGGTAAGTTAGAGAGCCCTTCGCCTCATCAGTTGCTTGGACAGAGGAGGCCAAACTGAGGAATGAAAGAGAAACGGGCTGCAGTAGAAAAGGACAAATGTCAGGTACTTCTACATCACTCTACTTACTCTTAAAAGCCTTCACTAACGGGGTCTGGTTTTTCCCTTCTCACAGTCTGATTTGGTTATAGGCTTAATCATCCCCTAAATTCAGACATACTCCTATAGTTTGGGAAATCTTGTCTCTTTTAAAAATGTAATCATTTTACACACTTCTCAGAATAACAAAGTCACCTCCTCCAGCAATGATACTATTTGAAGTCCTTCTACTTCCTGGCACCTTTCCCATCCCCCTGCTGTCCTGGAAAAGAATTGCTGAATGGCATGTATTTACTTTAGAGATTGGTTATTGAGAGTCTTATGACATCCCTTTGAGATAACTGGCAACACTCTAGGGTGTTGCAAAATCCAACTTGGGAGTGACCGCCTCGATGATCAGCAAGAAGCCACAGCCAAGACTGGAAGCCAAGTGGGGCCTGCACCACTCTTAATATGACTGGGGATAAGGGGGATCAGAGGCTACCCACTATGCATTTCTGTGGGTCCAAAGGATTGCTTGGGGTGCTTCATGGGCATAGAGGGCATTTTTGTGGAAGCTACTGACAAATCCTGCCCATGGGTGAGCTACTAGGTTCCTGGGAGATGGAGCTAGTTCTTTTTCTTTAGGGATAATTTTAGGTTCTTACTTCCCCTCCAACCTTTCTAACTGCCAACCCCTGGCTCAGACTCCCAGGGGGATTGTTTTGACCAGTAGCTATACAGCGTTCTTTTGAAATATAGTGCTATTCAAAAGAGACAAGCTAAGGCATGGCCCTGGAGGCATTTTCCATGTTATTTTTGTTCCTTTTTTGTCCCATTGTTTCAGGAGAGGAAGAAAGGCAGCCCAAGAGTTAGGTCTTGATAGACCTTAATAAAGTTATCATATCTTCCTACCCCTGAAATTTAAACCCAGGGCTCGTTTCCTAGCCCTGGAAATGGAATCCCACACCCACTTTGAGAGGAATTGGTTTAGAGATTGGAAAAGCTTGGCTGGTGGAATTAAGCCTTAAGCCTGGGCGCCAAGGAGAGGATGGGTACAGGAAGTTCTGGGCTCCTTCAGTGAGGGAAACTTTTTGAATGGAATAGGAGGAAAGGCTTCCAGAAGCATTAAATATATTCTGCATACTAGAAAATGCAACATGTGATTTCCTCAGCTCAGTGTATCCCAGTTTTTGAAAATTCATGAATAAAACCTTCAAGGAAGTGGAAGGAACACTTTACCCTTGGGGAAGGGGGAAATGGAAGAGTTTGGGGTAGTTGGATGACAATGGTGGACAAAACTCAACCTCAAACCAAGAGGTCATTCTCCATACATCTATTTTAATATAGTTTCATAACTGAAATCTTTTAAGAGAAGGAGCCCATCTCGAAAATTCTAGGTGGAAAGCGTATGGAGCGAGCAGTGAGTAGTGGGCAAGATGGCAAAATCAAAGCTCTTCAGCATTTACGGTTACATGATACCATATCCAAATGAAAATTGACAGGCAATGCGAAGTATTCCTGAGAAATGGCAAATCTCCCCAATAGCTAAGAAGAAAAAGAACAGAAAATGAGAGTTTAAGTGAAATAGAAAAAATGAAAAGGGACAAAGCTCATTGGAATGAAGTCTTGGAAGAGGAGAGAAGATACTGACTGACTGCTATTATTTAATTTAAAATACTGTGGCAGTGCACCCAAGTATATTAGGGACTATAGTGGTTATGGGTGTCAGCAGTTCGAAACTACCAGCGGTTCCGTGGCAGAAAGATGAGACGTTCTGCTCCTGTAAAGATTTACAGCCTCGGAAACCCTGTGCAGGGTCACTATGAGTGGGAACAACAATTGTGAATCATTCTCCTTGCCTTGGAGAAGACACCTCTTCCTTTGTCAAGTAAAGCGAGGGGTGGGGATGGAGGGGCGGTGTTGGTTCTCCATGATCCTTCCTTGAGCGTTGCTGCTGTACAGGTTGGGAGAAGTAATTGTAGTGCTCCAGGAGGGAGCATTATGCTGAGTGTAGGAAAGTGGCCATGGCGAGGGTGGACAAATCGTCGCACAGAAGTCAGGGCATAAGTACGTTGCTCCACATTAGGCTAAAGGAAAAACTAAGCATCCACCCCGCCCCTCTCCTCGCCCTCCAATTCCTTTCCTGAGCCCGCGTGTAGAGACTATTGGCTGCTGCCCCTTTAAGCGCCGCCACTCCTCCTGTGAGCGGTGGCACCGAGAGGGTGGAGGTGGTGAGGGGGGCGGGGGTGGAGGGCTGAGTGTTCTCGCTCTGGTTAACTGGGGAGATGGCCCAGGCCAGGGGAGTCGCTCCCACGCCCTGCTGTCCCCTCCCCTGAGTTGGGGGAGCCGGGCGACAGCCTTCCCTTTTCCCACGCCCCACGCGCGACCGCGGGATGGCTCCGTGGCCTCACTGGAACAGTTCTCTGGCCTTGTGGCCAGACGCCCCCACCCTGGAGCCTAATGCCGCCAACACGAGTGGGCTGCCTGGGGTGCCCTGGACCGCGGCATTAGCAGGGGCGCTATTGGCGCTGGCGGTGCTGGCGACAGTGGGAGGCAACCTGCTGGTGATCGTGGCCATCGCTCGGACACCGAGACTCCAGACTATAACCAACGTGTTCGTGACTTCACTTGCCACAGCAGACTTGGTGGTGGGGCTCCTGGTAGTGCCTCCGGGGGCCACTTTGACATTTACTGGTCACTGGCCCCTGGGCGCCACTGGTTGTGAACTGTGGACTTCAGTGGACGTGCTGTGCGTGACGGCCAGCATCGAAACCCTCTGCACCTTGGCGGTGGACCGCTATCTAGCTGTTACCAACCCGCTGCGTTACGGCGCAATGGTCACCAAGCGCCGCGCCCGAGCGGCCGTGGTACTGGTTTGGGTCGTGTCCGCTGCAGTGTCGTTTGCGCCCATCATGAGTCAGTGGTGGCGTGTGGGGGCCGATGCCGAGGCGCAGCGTTGCCACTCCAATCCGCACTGCTGCGCCTTCGCCTCCAACATGCCATACGCGCTGCTCTCCTCCTTAGTCTCCTTCTACCTTCCGCTTCTTGTTATGCTTTTCGTCTACGCGCGAGTTTTCATCGTGGCGACGCGCCAACTGCGCTTGCTGCGCCGGGAACTGGGCCGCTTCCCGCCAGAAGATTCTCCGCCGGCTCTGCCTCGTTCTGGGCCCCCAGCTCCTGCAGGGCTGCGCGCTTCATCCGCAGGGGTGCCTTCCTGCAGTCGACGGTCCACGCGCCTTCTGCCTCTACGAGAACACAGGGCTCTGCGTACCTTGGGTCTCATTATGGGCACTTTCAGCCTCTGCTGGTTACCCTTCTTTGTGGCTAACGTGGCGCGCGCCGTCGGGGGTCCCTCCTTAGTCCCTAGCCCTGCTTTCCTCGCACTCAACTGGCTGGGCTATGCCAACTCAGCCTTCAACCCGCTCATCTACTGCCGTAGCCCGGACTTTCGCAGTGCCTTCCGTCGCCTGCTGTGTCGCTGCGGCTGCTGTCGGCAGCTAAGATCCTACGCCACCGCCTCTTCGGTTCGCGGCCCTTCCGGCGCCCCAGCAGCCCTGACCATCCCCGCAGAGTCTAGACAGTGCCCACCGCTCGACCCGTAGGTATTGGGACGGAGGGACTGGTGACTTGAGGTTAGGAAGGATTCGGTATCCTCCTTCCGTGGTCAACTTTTTAAGTTTGGCATTCTGTAGGAGGAGGTGGAGCTTCTTTGCATTGAGGGGACTGGGAGCTAAGGCTAAGGAACCAAAATGAACCTCAGGACGCTTTCTTTTCCCTCATCAGACCCACCCAGTCCAAAGGTTGAAGCAAAGGAGGGAGGTCGGGTGTGCTTCATCCTAGGACCAAGGATTTGCACCAGTGCTTCTGGTCAGCTCTAGCCCTGTCTGATCAGCTCTAGTTTGGGTTTCCCTCAATGCTGTGGCAGCCCAGGTGCCTTGCTATCACTAGGGCTGGCTTCGACTTTTACTCTCCCAACCCCTCCACCTCAGCTCTAGTTTCACTCAAAGGTTCACTCTAGTTTCACTCAAATGGCTGTGATCGGTGTGAAGGTATAGACAACATGATTGAGGAACCCGTGAGTGCTAATTCTTCTGGGAAAAGAGCTGGCTTGGAGTTGGAAGGAGGGGATTTATGGCTGGGTGGTGCCTGGAGATCTTTGTGTCATTAAATATGGCCTCCAGGATCTCTGACCTCTGCCCCTTCCCTATTCCCACCCTTTCCCCACTGCCTACCCCTCACTCCAAGATGTGTTTATCTTCATTTTCAGGGCTTCCTGGGAAGTTTCTTAGGTCTTAAAGGACGAGAAACTGCAGCTCCGTTGATCCAGAACCTTTGGAAAGCCTCTGGCCTCTGTTCAGAATGAGCCTTGTGGAATTTCTCAGCTGAAAAACTCTACCCTCCAGAACCTGATGACTGGGCCATGGGAACTGGGAGGCGGGGAGCCAGGAACACATTGGGGAGGGAGAGCCCTTACCAAGTGGATTTTCACCATCCTCTGGGGCTTTCCTGCTCTCTTTTCCCATCCCTGACTTCACCACTACCTCAGCAACTGTGGGTCAGGCTACCTGTGCTTAACTGCTCTTAAGAACCCATCACCTTGTTCACTTTTGTGCTATGTGCTCAGGGCAAAGAGAGCACCCTTGGCTTAATTCCTTCTGTTGCCCAGACCCTGATGGATTTGTGGCCCAGGCTGAGAGCAGGAGGCAAGAAAAAGTCACAGTTTGGGGTTCTGTCCTTGGCCATCTCACTATGACTCCCTAAGCACCTGCCTTCCTCACTTTAGACACAGAACAGCTCTGATCTACCTCACAGCAGGTTCAGAAGGACCTCTTCAATGCTTTGGAGGGCTCTAGGGTTCCTAGGAAGATGATCCATTAGAATGGATCTCCTCTTTTCCCTTTAAAATAAAATGAATAAATATTAACGAATGCAGTTCATCTGTTGCCCTTCTTTCTGTTTTCTTTTTATAATCCACTTGCTTCTTTCTTTTCTACTTAGAAGTGACTTTTGACAGTCACAATAGACTAGAACGAATCCTTGCCCTTTCTTCCTAATCCTCATCACATGAAAATGGAAAATCTGTTTTGTTGAAGAGGAACAAGCTTAAGCCTTTGACACTCCTGCCTCCATCCTTTCTAAAACTTCTGGAATCCAGTGGTAAGTGAGTAGCAATCATACTACCTATAGTACTTTAGCATGTGGGTTTCTGTGCCCAGGATCAGGGCATGGAGCGTATGTCATGTCCCATGCTACAAATGAGTGTATTCATTAGGTCACATTGTCCTCAGGAGTCATTTTTGTTCAGTGCTCTTTGTGTGTGTATCTAGGGGCATAAAGCATTGTTTGTGTTGGATTAAAAAATATTCTGATGTTTCCCATTCTTTACTTTTGAAGTAAAGATGATTCCTTCTTGGACTTCCTGACCTGTAGAAATCTTTATCCTTCTCTGGAAGTAAAAATGGAATTACTGGAGTTTGAGCCTGTTCATATTTTTTTCTCTTATTCCACAATTTTAGAATCCTACCAGGCAGGTTTCCTATGGGGGATGGAGGACTTCTATGGAAATGAAGGGACAGTTTTGTGGGTTCTTCTTTAAAGGTCCATGAGCAAAGATTGATTTACAGGATGTACAAAATGTTTAACGGTATGATGGCAATATACAATGCACTGGCTAGGTTTAGGGAATGCAGAGTTAAAAAAAAATTTAGATCTGCCTTCAGGATAAGCTCAGTGGACTTCCACATATGGGTGTTTCCTGTGAACTGGACCGGGCGTATACTGCTCCCTTTTCTCCAGGAACACAGGTTTTATTTCTTAGGATGTTTGCATACCAAAGATGACTTTCTTCGTTTCTACCCAGAGCAATGTGAGATGTCTGGTGTCTGAGGTCAGGAAGGTTTCTTGGCAAGATCTCAACTTTTGAACTGTGGCCCTTAGCAGAGAAGGAAGTCTTGCTTTAACCTGGAGATAAATAAAAAAGCCTCTTCTCTCATCTCTGAATATTTTTTCTAACATCACTGAGAAAAGTTGCCCAGTCAGTCCTAGGTTGGGGAGAAGAATGATTTAGAGGGAGCTCGGGTTTGTAGAATTGTCCTTGAACTTTGTCCAGGAGTTTATACTGCTTGATTCTTTCTCGACATGCACCCTTGTGCCAGCTGTCAGACTCCCTTTTGAGTGTTTAGACTTACACTGGGGCTGTGGATTCCATCTGCAGATTGTCACCGATGCATTTGACAGGTGAAGAGGCAGCTGCCCTCGTTATTTCTCCAGCAACTTGTGGCTGGTTGTTAGGCTGGGGGAGATTTATATCCTTGGAGGGGGAGTAAGTTGCATTTGCTAGCACGAGGCCTGAGCACTTGACCTGTGTAAGACAAACAGCCATCCCTTGAATCTAGAGATGTGAAGACTTACAGACCAGTCAGAATCAAAGAACCTGTGGAGCCTGCCTTCCTTGCCCCTCACCTCGAATTTGTTAGCAGGAACTGCACCTTGTCTGGGAGAAAAAAGACAGGGAAAACCGGGTTGAGTTGGAGGAGAGGGAAGGAGGATTAACTGGACTTTCTAGAGGTGACTTGCTCTGTGTCTCAAGTAGATCTGCTAAGGAGCAGAATTAGGGTGAGGAGGAGGAGGTTGAAAACAGACTTCCCAAGGTATTCTCTCAGTGGTACATTCTAATGGTGAGTAGTGGTAAGTGCAGGATGAGGTCCTTGTGGGCAGCCACTGAGCAGTAATTACACACAAGTTTAACTCCTTAATGCCTACTGAGTAGGGGCAACTTCTCTGTGTCTGTATTTTCACTCTACCCAGCATGGTCCTGGGAACCAGGGTGACGGGTATAGAAATAATGGTCCATTCTTTTTAAATCTAGACTTCTCAAAGCTCTGTTTAGACTTCTGTTTGAGCTAGACTTCTCAGAACTCTTTCTGGAACTGGGACTATGTTTGTGCAACTGTCCAGAGAGGAACCTGCAGTAGGATTGGAGAGTTGCTAATGCACTCCTCAACTCTCCGTGCAAAAAAACAAAAAAACAAAAAAAAACCTTAAAGATAGTCTGCTTTAGGCTAGTTAATGAGCAATCCACAGACAATGCACAATTCAAGTTAATTAACAGAAACTCCAGAAGGTCATCTAATCTTTTACAACCCATTCTGTTATGATATTAAGGAAAACCAGAGGACTGCCCTTAATTTCCCCATTTATAAAATAAATAAAGCATAGATCTTGCTCACCTTTCTTGTCTCTAGAAGGGGAACAAGATGACTGGGGTGGCTCATATTAAGCTCTGTGAAGTTCTGGGCAGAATTTACCAGGTTCAAAAAGTTCATGGAAAAACGGAATTAAAAGATAATGGAATTTTTCCACTAACTTTTTGAAACCTCTTCGTATTTGTTCCACTTAAGGCCATAAATGAAGTCTTGGTGTGGCGCTACAGGATAAGCACTGGACTGCTAACCTCAAGGTTGGCAGCTCAAACCAGGCACTCCTAGGGAGAAGGATGAGGCTTTGCTCTGGGTAAAATCCCAAGCGGGCTATGAGTCAGAATAGAACAGGTCTTAAATGGTGCTAGTCGCCCCCTGCTGGTGGATGCAAGACATAGTAGGTATGGGCTTCTAATGCTGATTTAGGCAGGCAGCAAGAACCAGAGTTTTCGTAAGATCACAACCTATCAGAGCTGAAAGGGACCATAGAAATAATTTAGTTTAGTCGTCTCATAATATAGATAAAGAAACAGTTCTAGAGAGGTTAAATTAGTAGCCAAGATTTACTCAGTAGAGAGCACTGTGGTAATGAGAAGAACGCTAAGCTCTGTGCTGGAAAAACAAGGAAGAAAGTAAGATGGGGAAGGAAGGGAATGACCACTGACTGAGCACTTAGTAAGAAGTGCTCTACAAATGCTGTGTTATTTAATATGACAACAATGAAATAAAAACAGCGCCTCATGGAAATTAAATAGCTTACTTGTATTGATTCTAACCTAGACTCAAAGTTAATTTTCTTTTTTCTCCAAACATAGTTAAAAATCAGTTAGTTATGTGACACTGAGAAAGTTATTATGCCTTCCTGGCTTTTTTTTTTTTTTTTTTTTTGGTGATTCTGAAGCAAATGGAAGTTATATTATTGCTCTACTCAGCTCACACAAACTGGTTTTGAAGACTCTAGTTGATACTGTGTATATCCAAGTGTTTGAAAAGTGTAAGGGCTCTGCTAACACATACCCAGTTTTCGTTGAGTCTCTTCCAGTTCATGGAGATCCCATGTGTGTCACAGCAGAGCTTCACTCTCTAGAGATTCCAATGGCTGAGTTTTTGGAGCAGTTAGTCACCAGGTCTTTCTTCTAAGGCATCTTTGAATAAATTCAAACCTCTAACCTTTTGGTTAAGTGCTTTAGCTGTCGTACCATTCAGAGACTCCTCAACCCAACGAAAATTGTAATTAAAGTGTGGAATTAGAACTAGTCCCAGTTCTGGTTTTGATCTTTGTATGTTGTTTTAAGTGTCATCGAGTTGGTTCCGACTCATAGCGACCCTGTATAGGATTTCCAAGGAGTGACTGGTGAGTTTGAACAGCTGATCTTGTGGTTCCAACCGATCTTGCAGTCCAG